ACTACACAAAAACATCCCTAACATGGTAAATTTTTGGGTTTGGAGAATTCTTTAAACCCACATTCGACTATAAGAGCAGAATATGGAGGTTTTTGTACCGTCTCAACTGTAACATCCCAGGGTTTCAAGGAAAAAAATCATTTTTATTTATTCAAATATTCAATTACATTAGAGTCTAATTTAAGTTATGCGAAAACATGTTGTCAATGTGTGTGTACAGTCGAGCATTGACCTTCTTACAAACCAATGAAGTGCCTGAAAAACGTTTATAAACAACCTGGTAAGCACTAGGCTTTGTGAGTTCCCCAAAATATCATATCCCACAAAACATATACAATGCATATACATAATGGCTCACGACCTCATTGTTGATCCACCAATAAAAAATATAATGGCCTTCAACATAAAGCTGGTCCTCAATTTGCCTTCAGTATATAGCTGGTCCGCACTTTGGCATTTAGCATAACGCTAGTCCACCTAATTCTATTGGCCTTCAGTACGAGGCTGGTCCGCCCTCAACTCCCCACATAATATATAAATACATATATAGCATACTGACGGTTCAACATACATGTAACTAACTAAACTAGCCTAACGACATACTACATGACAACTATATCCTAACATACATAGGATATATACTAGAGCACATAATATAGTGAGAAAACTCACCTTGACAATGACTCGGAAGATTGACAACTGTCTGGCAAATCTACTGACGATCCGACTGACGGATAGCGCGTCGAACAAGTATTAACCTATAATACTTTATCCAATTAATCTCTATGTCAATCTGGTATTAAAAACTAGATCTTTCGCTAATACCAATGAATACTGAGAGTAATATTAGATATGGATCAATCAGGTCGGACAGTTGGGAGGCAGGACCATTTCAGCGTATAGCCTTTTTGAAATCCAACAACCAAGCCAACATGACCATTCTAGACATCTCTCTCGTAAGTAGATCAATCAATATTTTGACTTGGAATTACTGATAAATCTTATTTATAGGTTCATAATGACGACTTATAACTATAAATATAAGTTACACTGAAACGAGAAGAGTGTAGTTTAACTTATAGAGGTTTTAGTGAAAACCAGGAATTTCACGGGCGCGACCCCGATACCGAGTACTTCTGTCGGCCTAGATTTCCGCCTCATAGTCTTGCCAGAATAAGATTCATCAAAATCCCCAAAATAGCCTCAAAATTCAGGTTCTAAAGAGAGATAGAGAAATGAGAAGAGAGTGGGAAGAAAGAATGAGAACTACATGTATTTGTAGCCAAAAAGGGAGGGCGTGTCGCGTAGGGTATCGACACGCGCCGTGCGTTATGTCGGAATAGTTGGTGTTGTCCGCATAGAAATCTACCACGTGTCGTTGTTGGGTTGGTCCACGTCACCGTTGTCGTTCGCCTTCTAGAACACTTCACGTGTCCGATTCTCACGATGCCACATCGGCTGGTCGGTGGAGGAGTCTGGCGCCTCTTCTGCCACGTGGCGCATTCCGGTGCCGCCACGTCGGGTATTTTCCTAAAATCTTCGGACGATCATAACTTTCGCATATGAACTCCGTTTTCGACATTCTTATATCCCCAAAATCCTCTCGACGAGATCTACAGTTGTCATAAGGTCTCAATAGCTAATTCCCCCTCTAACTAAAATTCATATTTAGACTGGTTTAGACTGTTAAAGTTTGTGCGAAATTCATAACTTCTTTATACGAACTCCGTTCTCGATTGTCTTTATATCGACAATTTCATATTTACAAGATCTTCAATTATCGTTTATATTGTTTCGGCTAAGAACCAACCGATTAGAATTTCGATTTATGTGCTCGCACTACTGCGTTGAATCTTCGAAAAATCATAACTTCCTCTCACGAAGTCAGATTTGGACGTTCTCTATATACACACTCTCGGTTTTACGATTTCTACGACTTTCATTTAGATGACTAAGGCTAATAAGTAATCTATCTCTAATTCATATTTACGACGCACATAGTCGTGTCGCTTTAATCACGAAACTTCGAAGAAGCATAACTTCTTCATGCTAAGTCGGATTCGGGCGTTCTATATATCTACGGAAATCGTATTGTCGTTTCCTACATGTTTATAACAATTACTTTAGCTCAAAAGTAATACATCTCTACTTCAAATTTTATAAACAACGGTTTATATTAAATTCTATTGGATAAAGAAAATATGGTGTTACAACTGATTCTAGCTCAAATCATCAAACATTGGTTCTTAAATCATCACTTCATTTCCTTCTCAAATCCCTAAAATTGCCATGCTTCTCCTTCCCACTCTCTCTAGATTGATTACGTAAATGAAGGGGAAAAATATGAATATCTTCTTAATTCTTTGGCGATTTAACAACTTAAACTCCCAACTCACCATTTTCCTAATTTTACAACCATCTGATTTAAAGGACTAGCTTCACTTTTATTTTACAAACATAACCCATCTAACAATAGTTCTAACGAGTATGGTCCATAATGGTTAGTCAAGTTAAGTCATGGTAACATACAAGAGTTTTCCTAAATTACCAAATTAACCTTATTTTTATATATTTGACCAAATTAGCTATTTAGTCGTATTAAATTATGGATTGTTCCTTTCAAATTAATAAATAAAATATTTTATTATTATCTACTATTTTATTATTTTATTATTTAAATTATTCATTTTAAATAAAATTTGAATTAATCTATAAAATGAGTATGTTACATAGTACATCATTGAACAATGTGAGAGATGGGTATGATGATGTAAGTGAGACTCCATTTGTGAACTTTGGCTATGTTTGGCGTAGTAGCTGAAAAAGCTATCTATTAGCTGAAAAACTAGCTGATAGCTGAAAAACTAGTTAAATAAAAAGCTAGTTGATAGCTGAAAAGCTAACTGATAAAAAATGACGTTTGGTAAAACTAGCTGAAATATATAAAATTACATAAAAGGACATTTAAGAGTATTTGTTTCTATAATTAATTAATGGGAATATTTGGAAAATTTTAAAAAAACTCCTAAAAAGCTAGTCTAAGTAGCTTTTCAAAAAAACTAACTTATAAGCTACTTTTTGGCTTGCCAAACATTACAACATAAAAAAGCTCGAAAAATAAGCTAGTTTATTAGCTAGCTGTGACGCGCCAAACACAATCTTTATCATTACTATCGGAGATATTAGAGATGATCACATAACATATTTTGAATAGATCATTGAGATAAGCTTTCAAAGAAATCATAAAACAAAATCATATTATGATTGCAATTTAAAAAAAAAGGTGGAGACGACAACACTTTAGTTGATTGCTCAAAATTAAGATTGCAACGTGTGTGAAAGTAAATGTAGCGGGTAATGGCAAGGTTTTCATGCATACATGTTCTTGCAGTTTGTAGTTTGTCGACGTGGTTAGGATAGAAAATGAAAAAAATGTATAATATAAAAATAAAAAATGAAAAAAGGATAGAAAATGATTTGGATGTAAATACTAGATTTTTTAAATGGTATGGCATTACACTTCGGAAGTTCACCGGTGTTATTGAATTTCTAAATACAAACATCATCTGGGCTAAATGCCAAAGGAAGAAAACAACAGGGGATGTTACATTATTTGGTGTATTATGGCATATTTGGATTGCCAGAAATGATAAGATCTTCAAGAATATTCGTGTCGCTCCAACAAAGGCCGCGAATGATATTATCTCAAGCTCATACTCATGGTGCAAACATAGGAGGAGTATGAGTTGTGATGGTTGGGCTGAATGGAGTTGCTCACCCTTTGCTCGTTTATCTATTCCCTCCTAATTTTGTTTTGTCTCTTTTCTCCTATGTATTCCTTTTCTTCTTGTTATGCTTTAGTTACTTGTTAATCATGGTTTTTTAAAGGTATTTGTCGTTTCCAAAAAAAATAAAAATATTGAAAATTAAACTTTTTGGGTAAACTTATAAATGTGTATAAACTTTGCTGCTTGGTAGGTTGGACTACCAACCCATGTTCACAGATAATTCTAAAACTAACCCATATTTTCAAGCGTTTTGTGTTGTATGAGATTCCTCACTTCAAATTGAAGAGCGGAATAATGACGGTGACATGTAGTTATTAATTTATCTTGAACAACATAATAAATTTGTTATAAAATAATAAAATAAAAGAAAAATAAGTGAATAAGAAATTCCAAAGTTACATGATACCCGTGGAAATATAATTTGTAAGCTTTTTAGTTTTTATACTTATTTAAGAAAGCTAGAATCACTTTTCTACTTGTCTCGTTACTCATTAGGGCATCCATAATGCATTGAACTTTATAGAGTTCAATAGATTGTCACATTATTTTTCTACAATCCATACAACTCTATTATTTTTTTTCTACAATGCATTGAACTCTACAAAGTTCAATAGGATGTTACAAAATATAATTTATAGTATATATTTAAGAATTAAAAACTTTCCTTTTTCCGATTGAGGAGTTCAATGGTAGAGTTTCATCTATTGAATGACACCTAGACTTGCCACCTCATTCAACTCTTCCATTTAATTCACCATTATGGATACTCTTAGTCCTGGTTCCATAAGCATATCATAGACTATTGACCCTTTACTACATTCAGACGCTGGTTCCTATGACAACAAAATGATTTACTAATTTAAATTGATAATAAAAAGGATAAAGTTGGCATAATAAATTGAAGATACATTGATTTTAACCTCTTTCTATTTTTATTTATCCTTTTCAAAGTAGGGGCTTAGGAGAAGATTAAACATATACATTACACAATTTTAAAAAGGTTCTAATATTCTATACCAAGAAAGTTTGTATTACACATGCAAACAATGTTCCAATAGTTTTTTAAGGGTTAAATACTTATATTGGTAAGGAACTATGCCCCAAGTTAAATATATGTGACAGTGGTGCTATACAAACAATGCACAGAGGGCTTTTTAGTAACTTCATGTAACTCATACAGTCATACTCGATCCTCTTAGTAGGTTTTTTTAAGCACTGATTAATGAAATGTTGGAGCAACATATTTCTACTAATGGAACATATACACTAATGAACACCAAATGGTTAGACCACATCCATCTAACAAAATCTATGAGTAACCAAGGGCTCTACTACACATTACACAGTATATAGCCCATACCTCTTATTTAAAATTACAATCTTACCCCTAGAAAATTGGGCATCCAGTAACATTAATCCCTTTGGCTATAGGACAAGTTGCCAAAGGACAGTGATCTGGTTTGGATCCCCACCATTTCAAATTAACACCTTCGTTCTGAAGAGCAAAAAACAGCACCACACCCATGAAAGCTGTCCCAGCATCTAAAGCCGCCGAAAGGACATAATTGTACTTCTGCCACCATTGTTTCCGGTACTTAAACACAAAGTAGTTAAAGATCATCCCTGTCACAAGCCAACTTGCAATGTTTGTAGGAGTTGCAGGTGGCATGCCAGCAAAACCATAGGAGATAACAGGGATGTTGATCAACGGAATCCATTTCTTCTCAGGGAAAATCTTGCTCAAAATCCAAACGGGAACAGGCAAGAATGCTCCGACGAGGAATAGCCATACCAGGTTTCTGTATAAACCTCCAGGTCCGAACAGTCGTTGTGGTCCGATCAGTCCCCATATCACCGAAGCATCAAAAGTAACCCTGAACTTCGGGCACGTCCATGGGCTTTCGGGATGAAGACCTTCAATGTCACATATGTTCTCGACGTTCTCCAACATCCACCATGATGTTGCTAGATTCACCGTCCCTGCAACTAGCGTTCCCACCAACTGGCAGTTTCGATAATAGAATTAGGGTTTCGATTTTCGAATATCGATTGATTTGTTAATTAATAGTAACATGGAAACATCATATACCTGAGCTGTGAACATGGATCTAGGTGGGATTTTCATGTAGTGTCCGAGTTTAAGATCAGATAGAAACGAAAGAGCGTGAATGGTACTGATTCGCCCGTAGATTTTGAACAGAAGATTTGCGATTGGTTTTCCGGGTAACACATAACCGATTATGAACTGTGCGATGATGTCATATCCAGGTTGCTGGTTTGTGGTTGCTTGAATGACTCCAATGGGGAGAGTAACAATCCAAGCCAAGAAGAAAGCGAAGAGAAAGCCCCACCATGGGAGCTGAACATCTTCTTGCCAGACAAAACACATTATTAGCGATAAAGCAATGCTCCCGATCAACAACACCAGATACCACCATTGAGGAACTTGTTTGTAAGTCTTCATTAGTTTCGAATGGATATCAAGCTTCACATTATGTGCTGCAGATCTACTCTGCTTCCATATATCCCTACAAGGTATCGATCATTGTATCAGGATTCAGAGACCAGGGCCTGTTATGTTTTAATTAAACGAAGAACGGTTGCTTACCCGCCATGAAAAAGCGCGACATGGGTGAGGGTGGCTGTGAATCTCGCGAATCCAGATCCAATTGAAAGTGCAAAGAGGGGACTCAAGTAGAGCTTACTGTAACTCTGATATGCAGCAATGTTGAGGTCGAATTGTGGGGTTAAGATTCTGGTGGTGTCGTATTTATGTCCGGTGGATGTGAAGAGCTGATTGGAGAAGATGGGAAATTTTTGTGCGTCAAATGTGTTGAATTTCCAGTAACAAAGTGGGACGATGATGTAAACGAACATGATGAAACCAGCTCCGACATTGATAATGGAAGTCCATGGAGTAACTAGTGGGCTTCCATGGTAAGCTGAAATTCCCGCCCAATCGAGGGTGAAAGCGCCGACGCCTAGCCCATGGTAACCGGAGCCGATCTGCTGTGCTGTTATACTGTTCGGAAAAACCCAACATACCCATGAGAAGAAGGTCAAGATCGGAAAAAGATAGCCGGGAAATGCGTAATATGCAAAGCTTGCAACCAAGAAGATCATGAAGAATCTCATTCGTGTCATTCCCTGTGCTTTCGTCTCCTTCTCGTGTAGGGCTCTGAAACAAAACAGGAGAATCAATTGAACAGATTTCGAATAGAAATGATTCTGTTTGATTTCACTTTTGAAAAGAGTTCGACATTCTCCAATAAAACAGTCGTCAACTCGTCATGGAATATGGAACAACATTTTTTTTTCTCAATCTCATGGAACACTTGATATTCTTGATGCCATCATTAAAGTGAAGAACATTAAAAAGTTAAGAGCATAAAAAGTAGTCATACTTTATGAGGAAATAAGTCCGATTCTTGAAATGTATATTTAGCAAACAAAGTTTGAAATTTGAAACATCAGGTTTTAATCGATTGTTAAAAGTAATAATAATTAAATTGGATGAACAGATTGAAAACATACCTGAAGAGAGACACCTGAGCAAGGTTCGCCGGCCACCACATTTCCACCGGATCAACCAAGTACCTCCTCAACATTCCGGCCCATCCATATCCCACAATCTGAACAAGGACAGACGAATCGATTAAATTCTTATTTGAAATTAGAAGAATTAAAGAAAACCCATGAAGATTAATTAATTAATTAATTATACCTGAGTAGTCAAGACAATAATCAAACCACAGAGGAAATTCAAGCTCTGTCGATAATAAGCTTTCATAACAGTAATGGCTCCGATGGAGTACGCATCCCCTCCTCCCATTGAAACGCCGCAGTTGGCGAACACCGTGATAATCACATGCTCCTTCATGTTAAACGGACCCGGGTTCAGGCTAAAGCTACGACCCAACAACCGATACTCCTTCGTCGGCAAGGTGGCGGCCATGAATTTTCCGATCGGCAAAACAGCAATTTGCATGAGGATGGCGGAGATGGTTAGCGGCTGAGTTCGGTATATGAAGAAAGTGTTTAGAAAAATCAAAACGGTGCATGAGGCAACTCCGAGTGTCCATGCCCGGAATGTCAGCACCGGTAGCGACGGGTCATCGGTTTCAGGCACCACCAGCGCCACCTCTTCCACCGTACACTCCGGTGGTAAAGGGTGACCATTTTGTTTGTGGTCGGCGTCGGCTTTTGAAGCCATTATATATGTAGAAAGACGAAAGTAGAAAGCTCACTTAGTTTGAGAAATGGGGTCTGATAGTCTTCCTATAGTACATTAGTACATGGGTAATGGGTTTATATACAGGTGTTCGAACTAATAAGCAACTCATAAAAAGCCCCTCATTCTTTTCTATATATATAGACACAAACATATATTTATGGGTTTTACACAAAGCTTTATATTCTATATACGTAATATTATTCATTCAATAGATTAATTTACTTTTTAGAGAACATAAATTATACTCCTTTATATTACATTTTTTTTTACACTTTTTCAAATGTAGGTCAAATGCTTACAGTAATGAAGTATTTTAGTCTAATTATCATATTAGATGGTATATGTAATTATGTACCTTTATATTCATTTAAGGTAATGTGTAATTTTTTTTCCTTTTTAAAATGACTAGGTAATTATATTATTATTTTTTTGTAAATAGAACATAACAAATAAATTACTTGAAATTGAGGAATATATAACGTATTGTTATCTTGTATAGAAGATATATATTAAGTAAAATAAACATTGATCTAAGATATATTGCTTTTGGCATATATATATATATATATATATATATATATATATATATATATATATATATATATATATATATATATATATATATATAATACGACATATAGCAATGGTTTATGTATAATTTGAAGGCTGTCAGTTGAATATATATATATATATATATATATATATATATATATATATATATATATATATATATATATATATATATATACCCAAAGACGTTAATTAATTGTGACCATTGAAAATGATTAATCTTTTTTCTTTATTGGGTATTTACATTTACTTGTATTAAATATAATGTGATTTTACATTTATTATATTTTATATTATATTATTACACTGGTGGGGGTTGAGTTGTTGCTTTTAACTTTTGGAAGGGCTGTGAATATCACACGCCATAACAAGGCCTGCCACACTCTGTCACAAAACTGCACATGTGGCAAGTGTCTTTTTTCCCCCACGTAGGATCTCAAATGCCAGGTCAACTACGCGTACCCCGGGAGTCCGTGCAAAACCTCATTAAATCCACTGACACTATTATTTCGAAATTTCAATCACTATATTACCACCAATATAACTTAACTTACAGTTTTGGTCCTTGTGGTGATCCTTAATCTCCACATTTTGTTAACCTTGAGAAAATTGATTTGGCATGTCATTGTGGTTTCCAAAATTTTCAACGGAGGTCCCTTAGGCTAACTCCGTTGTGTATTAACCGTTATGTCCAAATTAAAAGACCAATATGCCCCTCATTTAACTTTTCTGTTTTTCTATTATTTTTCTAAACTAAAAGGACCTTTTTTATAAATGATCGCAATTAGCTCACCACTATCACCATCACCACCAACATTAATCACCATCATCCCGCACCAACATCACCACCACCAATCACCAACATACACCAATCACCACCATCGAAGGGGAAAGAATCAGGGCATCAGCATCGAAGGTAAAGATAGAAGACATCAGAAGTAAGGGCAGAAGGGTTCCATGTGTCGTGCGGGAGGCATGGACGGACGCATGATTTCGTAGAAGGTGTTGTTGGTGGCACATTTTTTATTACGCAGTGGCACATATTTTTTTACGTAGTGGCACAATAGTAGAAAAATCAAAAAAATCGAAAATTCTTGTACTGCGTACACACAGATCATGTGTTGTCTGTGTCACTATTGGACACCAAGCAAAACCGCCCCTGGTAGGAGGTGAAGGGAGGAGACGTTGGAGGATAAAATAGGGTGGAAGATGAGAGAGGTGGTGGAGGAAAGACAGATCAAGGAAGAAATGATAGATGTAAAAGGCAGACGATTAGGCCATTGATTACCAATATAGAAAGCAGTGAAAGAGAGAGATTCCTCATGGTGGAGTAGAGGAGGTGAGAGAGACATCAATGGAGGCTGCAACATTTTTAGGTTTCTTATTATTTTTTATGAAAAGAAGCAGAAATGGTCAATCATTTTTAAAAAATGACAAAAAAACAAGAATAAAAGCATTTTTGTCATTTTACACCCATTTAACGGGGACTTATAAACGGTAACAACAAATATACAATGGAGTTAGCCTTAGGGACCTTTGGTGCAAGATTTGGAAACCATATGGACCATCTATATCAATTTTTCAAAAATTAGACCAAAAATACAAATTGAAGCAAACCATAAGGACCAAAACTATAATTACTCTTTAATTTATTACCTAGTTTTTACATCTTTTTATCATCATTTAATTGTAACCATTAATCTATCAATCAATTTATCATCATATCTCAAACGACTGGATTCTAACAATTAACTAATCAAATTATTACACACATTAAATGAGTATTGTAAGCAATAAAACAAAAACTTGATATGGCAAATGGTGTGGTGCCTTTTTTTTTTTGGAAACAGCCAATGCATTAAAAAACACTCACACCTAGTGAGACGCAAGGCAGAGCAAAACAGGAACAAGCAAAACAATTACAAACAGGAGAAAGGAAAAGATAACCAATTAATCCAATTACATATCCCCATTTTACCCCTATGCTTCGCCCAAAGAAAAACCGAGGAAATAATATCATCCATAACCGAAGAGGCAGAAGCGATATGCTTGTTGAATAGTCTAGCATTCCTAGCTTTCCACAAACTCCAGATAAGACCATACACGATCATGGTGAGAATGCGTCTCTTTTTGGGATATCTCCCCCAGTGGTTAATGAAATCTAGTAAAGCACGAGTGTTGGCAAAAAAATGGGAATGAAATCCTGCACCAGGTTCCAATCCAGTTCCGCACCTTAGATGCGAAAGGGCAAGAGATCAGAATATGGTCCGCATTCTCCACCTCCCCACATAAACCACACGCAATAGAGCCAATAGGAACGCCCCTAACTGAGAGAGCCTCCGCAGTAGGAATTCTCCATTTTTCCGCCTTCCAGACAAAACCCAACACTTTTATGGGAATTTTTTTGCACCACACAACCACCGGGTTCGACTCAACAGCTGGGTTTTGATCAACAATTAATCTCACAGCCTCCACAGAATAAATACCATCTGTGTGGTACCTATGTGATAGCTTTAGTAAAACCCTGATTACGTTAATATTGACGTATAAATTTTAATCAAAGTTTATTAAAGAAGTAGGTCTTAAAATAATCATCCTAAGAGTGGAGTTTTATACTATTTTGAAAATCACGAGTTCATTATTATTATCATTATTATTATTACTATTTTTGTTCCTGAAAAGAGGGATGTTTATCTTTTTGACCAAAACTTGAATCATGTTGGTTGGTTTGGAAAATTATGAAGTTGAATTATATGGTTTCGATAGTGGATGTAATGTTAAATAAATCTCTATATCAGTTATATTTTCAAGTAATTATAAGTTAAAAAACGTAAACATATTAATATAAGTCGTAAACCTCTTCGTTACATATCTTTCTCTTTTCTTTAATGCTTGTTTTATTCTAAAGAGCAATCTTTTGTGTTATTTAAATTGTTAAACATTCCAAATATTTAGACACTATTTAACAAACTAGTTGAAAATCTAGTTGGTATCTCATAAGTTTGCTTATGAATTAATAGTTTTTAGGGTGTCAAACCTATAAGTGTAAAATTGATTCCAAATACATTGCTTAAAATACACTAAAAAGTAGTACAAGCCAAACATGGTCGATCCTCAGAGACACAAAATTAATGTCTATACCTCTTTGTGCGAGGTACAAGTGAGTCATTGATGTGTATTTTTAATGCACTAGTTTTTTATTTATATTTCCTAGTCTATCGCATCTAAACCACACCTTACATGTAGTGAATCTAATCGAGTATAGTATAGTTTTGATAAGCAAAGGTGTCGAACTCAAGGGAAACGGTAGTGAATTAATATTAGAATATTTGATTATAGGTTATTCTAAATTAAAGAACGCAATAAAATGGGGTTTTTGATAAATAAATCTCAATTAAATCAACAGATTAACTAACTAGATAAACTGAATGAAAACAAATCACTTTGGGTACTTTGGTTCAGACTGGATTTCATCTCAAAATACTGGCTAACTACTAAGTATAATGGATATTTATTCATTGTTCACCGATTCCTAATATGATTAGAATTTATTATCAAAAGACTAAGCCTTTAGTAAAACAAATTCATTCATTCATTGATCAAGTGGACAAACAAACAAGCATACTAGTGTTAAGTTCGAATTATGCAAGACTTGAGTTATAAACCGATACCTATTATATACGATAATGGTCATCACATATAAGCTCACACATTAAAGTAACCAACTTTTTTATTCAACCCTAGGTTTATGGTCAAAATCCTAGTCATAAAAATTTAATGATCATAGATTCATATGATTCAAGCACATCAAGATAGAATGATCATCTAATCCCAATAATACTCAGCAATAAACAGAAAAAATTAAAACTTTAACACATAATGATCTTTTATCAAGCAAACATAATTAAATAAATAAGAATAAATACTCCGAATAGCAAATTAATCCATAATCTCAATGATTGATCTAGTCTAACAAAAAGCAATAAGGTTTTGAAGCCCTAAATCAGAAAGTAAAACATATGAAAATCATAATGGAATGATAATCATGGTCGGAACAACAAACTGAATGATTCCCTGCATGACTCAACTCTCTAATCCTTCAGATCTTCGCTCCAAATCAGCTTAACAGCCCTTTGATCGCTTCTAGACTCTCAAATCACGGTTTGGGGGGTTTATTTTCATAGGGAACGAATTAGGGTTCAAAATATGTCGTTAGGGATACTTTTTGGCTCTATTTATGGGTTTCAGCTTCGCCACCGCATGGAGAAATAGTTGCCACGCCGTGGGAGCTGTTTTCTTCGCGTCCACGAAATTTTTCCGAATTGCCACGCCGTAGAAACGCTTTTCCACGCTGTGGGAGCTGTGAATTAGAATTTTCTCAACGCATGAAAGTTGTCCGAAATTTTGTCTAGTTTTCGGAACATTTTGAATCTCATCAATCGCAGTTACGAGACATGAGATATGGTCAAAACACTGACTAGGGGTCAAGCTGCCAGCAATACCCTTTTTGCATC